TATTAGATATCCCTAGCAACTGCACCTCCTTAGCTGACGACCTGTCATTAATTGGTATTTCACCATTAGCACTTCAAATGCAGTTAGATATCGCATCTATTCATGTAAATGGCGATTTACATTTAATGCGTCCAAGTCCTGTGTCTTACAATTTCAAGCCAAAGGTTCAAACCTAGATCAAACATCATGGCACTTGGGTCCCTCCGAAGTATCATGTGAACATTCCTATAACCACTTAGGAATCGTTATCAACCATAAGTGTAAACTATCTGACAGAATACACGAAGCTTGCAATAAAGGACGCAAATCTTACTTTGCACTATCCGATCTTGGTACACAGTTTCTTAATCCCAAGACGATGTCTCATTTGTACAAAACGATCGTGCTACCGTCAGTACTTTACGGGTGTGAACTCTGGAACAACATGACATCCGCTGATAAAGTTCGACTCAACACATTCCAACACTTTATTTGCAAAAACTCACTCAACTTACCAAAATTGTGCCGGTCAGACATGTGCGAATCATTCTTTGACGTCTTACCTATATGCTCTGAAATTGACGCACGTAAACCTTTATTTTTTGGAAGATTAATTCGTTTGAATCCAAAGACATTAACAAAATCAATATTTCTTGCAAGACTATTTTCTTACCTCCACAACCTCTCGGATGATCAATCTGGCTTTATTCCTGATATCATAAGGACTCTCCACTCATACAACCTTGTCACCCATTTATGGAAATTTCTGGAGGATGGCTCTTTCCCTATGAAATCTGCTTGGAAGAAAATGGTACGCGGCAGTGTTATGGCTTCACACATATCTCAGCGCCAAATACGAATGTCTCACGACCCTGATTTTAATTCCTTCACACAAATTTTCTCGGACTCGAAACCCTCTTCTATCTGGGACGTAGCCGAAAATTACAAAGAAATTGAACTCTGCAAGTTCATCTGTAAACTGTGTACCTACTCATGCTCAAAGGAACATCTCGAAAACTGTGTCATTTGTGGAAGAACATTCTCTAATGTTTTTCAACATTCCACGTGTACATGTCCTGCAACCAGTGAAGTAAGAAACAACTGGTGGAATGTGATTACGAACTGTTTTGACGTACGTCTATCCGCAGAGCTGTGTGGCTTAACCGAAAATGAATGGTTTTTAGTTCTACTTGGACGCCATACAAATTATGAATCAGACAATGAATCTTTTCGGTTATTGAATTTTAACCTTGTTCGAAGCGCAGCCGCACACTACAACAGGGCACTTCCTTAACGCTGTCAGGCACAAAATTAACGTGTAACTTCCCCCCCTTTTTTTTTCTTTCTGTTTTTTTTTCCCTTTTTTTTCCATTTTCCCTTTCATCCTCAGCAGTCCTTTAAAGGTTTTGTAAATATGTTTCTGTTTTGTTTATGTGTATCTTTTCTCATATATTGTCTTTTTGTGTTAATCATATTTTGTATGTTTATATCTGTTTAAATGGAACTAGTGTAATATTTATTTAATTGTATGTCATATTTCATATATCTCCATGAGGAGGAAATAAAGAATGATTGATTGATTGATTGATTGTAAAAGCAAAAGGGAAGACACATTTCAATGCAATTGAACGTAATACCTTGAGATTTTTTCTTATTTTTGCTTATAAAAATAAAGGCAATTAAACAATAATTGCCTCATTACAAGTTTAATACATTGTGTTGACTCAGTAAAGAACGAGGGCGCTTTTGATTGGCATTTGGCAGGAATCTGAGCGTACTTGAAAAGTGAAAATTTTATCGACAGTTCACATGAAATTTTAACATTTTATTTATTTATCGGGTTCCTGTGCAACAGGAAAGGAAAATATTTTCCCGAAATTGAGCTTTGATTTGCTAAAAAATAACTTGAAAATTGGCAGATCAGACATTTGTTACAAAATGGTACATTTTTTAAACACGTTTTTCAAAAAAAATTACATCTCTGGGTCTTCTCTCCATGATTTTGAAACGTTATTTGTGTGTATTTTAATTCAAAGAAAGGAATACACTTTTTTAAAAAATGGAGAGAAGACCCAGAGACCACGAAAAATGAACTTTCCCCAAAAAAGTCCAAATGTGTGAATGTGGTGCTTCTTTGGCCTTTTAAAATCACCTGTACATGTGTAGCTGTGATAGCTCAGTAAGTTGGGCTACCTGTTCAGTGCACTAGAAGCGAAAAGTTTTTGGTTCGAGCCTGACATGGGGCGTTAATTTTTTTCTCCATGCAAACAACCATTTATTTTGTTAGTTTCGTTTTATGTACTGATGTATTAAAATTTTGAATTACAGATAAATTTTAGTTCAGTTTGGTTCTCGAGCGAAATCAATTCTAATCTTCTGTTCTATAATGTACATGTACGTATATCATGCATCTATGCATTAACTAATTTAGGTGTTTATTTTTTGTGAAACACTACTATGTTATAGTACCCCCAGGAAAAACGGACATAAATGTTGCAATTTCACAATGTCTTTCAAACTAAATGAAAAAAAAAACCTATGGACGTGTTTGTAAAATCTGACCAGCTATGTGCAGCCAAAACAATCATGGACATTTAAACCATAAATGTTTCGTACAAATGATTCCTGCAGATCTCTCGCCAAATGCGCCCATCTTCTTTATCATAAATGGATAGAATTTGTACTTTGTGGTATGCAAATAATATTTACCAATTTGTACTGCTAACCTCCATATAAGTCGTTAAGCTTCTCCATGTTTCATTTAGACTATTTAGAAAAATGTATCATTTTATAAAGACATATTTTAATTTTATATTTTCATAGTTTGAATTACTAAATATAAACATCTGTTTTGTTTTTTTTTTCTTCTCGCATAGTACGTAGAAGGCCAATTAGCCAACTACTTCAAGGTAGGATTATTATTTTCCTCAGTAATTGGAATACATTCTTCACGAATTTTTTATTTATATTTCCAATAATCATGACACCAAAAACGAAAAAGAAGCATCTCTTTGAGAAAATTATACAAATATTTTAGCTTGAATTAAAATTAATAATTAACTGTTTTTTTTATTGGATAGAATGGAGATTGCAAACTCGAACAGGTAGGATTATTATTTTCTTCAGTAACTGAGATAAATGCTTCACAAATTTCTGTTTATATTTCCAATAATCATGAAAACAAAAACGAACAACAGCAAATTGAGAAATTTGAGAAAATCATTCATTTTTTATGCTTAAACGGCGAAAATAGAGTGAAATTCCTCTAAAAATCAAATTTCATACATAAGATACACGAAATATATAACATATAATGGTCATTCTTTGGAGCATCCGTTTTCTTTGGATTTCATGTACTTCCATCATGAAAAAGGATGTGTCAAGAAAATTTACTTATTCTTGAATCAGAGTACATTTCTTTGGTTTTATTCCTTCATGGTAGCTCATTCGGTAGAGCGCTCACTCCGTGATCGGAAGGTCGTGTGTTTGAATCAAGGACTAACATAAATCGATTAAGCAACTGTATTTTCGTTAATCACTCGACACTTTGAAGTGATAAGATCTTAAAAACCGAGGCCCTGCGTAGTCTTTCGTACGAAAATAAAACTCTACGTTCAGTGGCATTTAGTGCCTATTAAGGCCGGTATACACGGTAAGATTTGTATTATAAGATTTGTATTATAATACAAAATCTTACTGTGTATACACTCTTAATACAGTGTATCATAAGATTTTTCGAAACTTATAAAACTGTATTAAGAATAGAGCGATGCTCTATTTCCTAATACAAGTCTTAACTCACCTTTTACTTTCAACCAATCAAATGTACTCACATTGGGGGTCAACCTATTTATATCATTACTAAATAAAGCACATGGTAAATAATAACAGCCGACTTTTCGAGTAAAGATATCGAAAAACTCGTGGTTTTATGGGAAGGGGAAGAGGACTTGTGGAATATATCAAGCTGTAGCTACCACAAAAAAGATGCTAGAAGAAGAGCTTATTATTATCATTTATATTATTTTGACAGAGAGAGAAATATGGCAGGAGAAAACACGTGGGAATAATAGTTTATTTACAATCTTATAAGATATGTATTAGTGTGTGTACAAAAAAGTATAATAATACAAAAGTATTATAATACTTGTATTATACTACAAATCTCATCGTGTATACTGGCCTTAAGAGGTCTCAATTTGAAGCTCTTCACTGGTATATAGTGACCTCTCTATATTATTAAAAAATTCTCATAAAACAACAAACAATCACTGAAATCATCTTGGTTTTAATTTTATGTGAATTTTAGCCTTCGTGTATCGATTTTGAATTTTAAAGGGCCTTCTCAAAGGTGGTACCAAAAGTAATAATGTAGTTCAGATAAACTAGACATTTCTGCTATTCTTATCCGACAATTATGGCTACAATCAGACACTCAAATTTATCCGGGCTAAAAAAAGATCAAAGAAAAAAAACTTTAAAATTGGAATAAACCCTTGTTGATTGCAAATTCAGTCCTTGAGGGTTTCTCTAAAAAGAGCGTCTAGTGATTCATTAATTTGCAGTTAGGTTTATGCATCCTTAATTATAGCATTGTTTATTTTGCGGTAATCGACACAAAATATTTTGGTTCCAATTGGTTAAATGTCTGCATTTAGCATTTTCTATAACTCTTGATATGAGAAGGTTTTTTGGTGCGTAGGAAATTGCATTGTGTCAGAGATAATTTAATTAATGGAGTGTTATACAAAGACTTCATGCTCTAATGGGCAAATGTCCCAGTGAACTTTAAAAAACACACTAGAGTCAGCCACATCTTTTCTATATTTGGATGATTAAATGACTAAAATGGTCAGCTTATATATAATTATAATTATATACAATAATTGCTGAATTTTGAAGCAAAAAATTACAACTCTTTTGATTATGTTACTGCAAATGTTTTAATAGAAATAAATATTTTCATTTAAATTTAGAAATCATAAAAATCAATTGATATAGTTTTCTTCGTTTAAATATAGATATGCTAGCAAAACAACGGGTTTTGCAGTACATGGTATCCGGGAAAACAGCAGTTCGTCACGCACAAGGTATAATTGTTGGTTGCGCTGGTGCTGGAAAAACTACACTGCTTTATAGACTGATCGGAAAAACTCCGGAGGACATGAAAGAAATTTCTTCCACAAGAGGACTTCAAATCTACGAATATGTATTTGCTGTAAAAGATGGAACCCTACGAGGTAATGAATTATTTATAACGATTGATTTTTTTTTTATCTTCAAATACATTTTTTTTCAATATTGCAATTTATTTTAGCCAGTAAAGAACAGACTCAAAGCAAACAATTCATTTGTGTTCCTAAGTCCGCTCTCAAGAAGAAAGAAAAAACATTGCTTCTTAATCAAGATGCAGATTTCAATTCAACGGATGTTGAGGACGGTGTACTCAATGCGAAAGAGGATCAAGGAAAAACCAAACCATTAGCAATAGATCTAAAAGACATATTAGATGAAAAGGAAAACGAAACAAGTGTCAGCATGATAGATTTTGCTGGACAATTTGCTTACTATGCATGCCATCAAATTTATATGAGATCAGAGGCTTTCTATACCTTAGTGTTAGATATGACTAAAGAATTTGAGGATGTCGTTAGCAGTGAAAAAGACAAGCGAAAGGGTTCCGTCTTCTCTACTTTGCTTCACAAAGGTTTGGTTTTGACAATCTAAACGAATGTTTTTTTTTATAATTTAATTTGTATTTCATATTTAATTGCTTTAACTATTACTCTTATCAACTTTTATATTACATATAGCCCCAAAACTGCTAGTATATTGATGTTCTAATGCTGTTTGCTTATAACGTAGTTAAAGATAAAATATGGAGATAGATTTTGCCGCACACTTTGTTTATTATACATACCATCAAATTTATATGAGATCAGAGGCTTTTTATACTTTAGTGTTTGGTATGATTAGAGGATTTGAGGATGCAGCTAGCAGACAGAGAGACGAGCGAAAGGCTTCAGTTTTCTCTACTTGGACTTACAAAGGTTTGTATCAATCTAAACGAATATTTGTGAATTTTTGATTTGTATTTCATATTTAATTGCTTTAAGTTCAGTTCGAGTTTTAAAGAAAGGCTTGTCAGGTTTTACATTTTAAAATAGTTCGATAGTCATTATAATTACAAGCAAAATGATATACAGCACAGCTACTATCTCTTTCGCTGATTAGAGATATTACTAAAAATAGCTTAGTTTACACCTGAGAGCTCGCACTGAAAATCGCTGTATACCGGAAGTGACGTGTGTAACGTCACAAGTGTGACTTGCAGAATAAGTATATATTAGTAAATCATCAACACCGTCACCTTTGGCGCAACCCTCAGAGGTTTGAAAACTGCAAGACGCAATAAAATGTGATGATAATAAGCAGTGGTCATTTTCAAAACTAATTTGATGTCCTGTTTTCGTTGCCTACAGGTCTTGTAAAATTTTAAAATCAAACGCATGCAGGCAGTACGTTAGTTTCATTTTCTTGATTTCTAATTTTATTTCTGGAAAAAACTATATACTTCCGGACTACATGTATAAATATTGTAACTAGGGGCCTAAATGGTTTGATTACGCCCCCCCCCCTCCCCATCGCCAATTTTTTTTTTGAATGCGCAAGTTTTTTTTTTTTTTATCACAAACACGTTACGGAAAGGGAGGCCTTTTAAAGATTAATTCCGATTTTTTTTTCTTTATTCTCTTTAAATTTTTTTGAGTAATTTATTTTCGCTTCGATCAGCTTTGCTTCTCCATTTTCGTTTTTACACATTTAATTTACTAAAAAATTTTTTTTAGTTCGACCATAACCTTTAAAGGGCTGGTACAAGCACCACAACCCCCTTCTAAAAAAAAAAACATCGCTCATAGATATATTTGATCAATTAAATTGTAATGAAGTGCCGGATCATTGTTTTGAAGTTCACATCATCGGTAAAGTGCATGTTGTAGATTTTTTTTTCCAAACCTCATTATTTCCGTATTCTTTTTCAATCACTGATGTTATTATTAGAAGATCATAATAATTTCACATTTGGAAGCTGTTCACCCCTCTCTTAGTGTTGCCGTAACTCTATCTTAATTTACTCTGCTATTGTATTTAATCACTGCTTATTTACGCTTGTGAACTCTTAATAATATTGTCTGTTAAAATTCTTTTTTTATCTCTGTGAAACAACCTTTTATAAAGCCATTTCATACAAGCATATGATTTTAATTTTTTTTTTAAAATCAGGAATGAAATAAATTTCGACATTTTAAGGTTTACCCACCCTGTCATAACCTGATTATAAGAATGAAAAGTTAAATAGGATTTAAAAAAAAATGAACTACGTTTTTAAGGTCCATTTCACACCGTCTATAGTTCTATACATCAATTTCTTGTTCTCATTAGCACTGAATACGAATTTAAATGATTATTTAATTTAGATAAATGTAACTGTGTATCAACTTCTATATTACAGTAATGTTTAGATTGGACATCTACAAGGTAGAATGTCGATCATCCGGGACCCGGGACTTGTTCAATATTGGATAAAATATTGCATGAAACAATCGACAAACACGTGAATAATGTGACACATAAAAACAGATTATACATAAATATCAATTATATTTTAACAATTTTAGTAAACTCACTAAACTCTGAAAGTCGAATTTAGCATCTGACTTTTAATTGAATGTGTTGCATCAAGCCTAGATATATACGTAACCTTGAACAAATTAAATTCCTCAATATTTTAACATGAGAATTATAACATTTTTTTTCTTTTCACAAAATTGTAAAACGTACAAATTTTATCTTTTAAAATCAATTTATACAACTGCAAGCAACGAAGTAACGTGCCTTTGATCTAAATTATTTTTAAAAAGTCATGCGTACAGTTTTACTGGAGGGGGTGGGGTCATTTGTTAAAAAAATCATTGCAAAACATTAAAAAAAAATGAGAATGAAAAAATATTCTAAAACTTAAAACGTGTAGAAAAAAGAGTGGGCTCCCACAACAAATGAAAAAAATGAACGCAAAATTAAAATCAGTAGGGACTAACATTATTCATGCTATCAGCTGTTTAGGCCCTTCTATGTTAAAGTTGTTTTTTTGGGGGGGGGGGGGGGGGTAAAAAGGTTATGTGTCGAATTATGTTTTTATTAAATATATATTTTTTAAATAATGATTTAAAATGCTATTGTGAATATTTTCTATCGTTTTACTCACATACCAATCAATAGTATGCAAACGATTTGCTTCCTCAGGTTCCGCATCGTTTGTGGTCGATTTTCGTCTGACGGTTCATTAGTCTAGGGCTCAAAAGGAGAGGGTTCTACTCCCACATTTTCTGTATTATTCCATAGCAATGAATCCTCAACAAAACATGACGATCCACAAGAAAATTCTTACGATTCTTCCTTTAATGGACTATCAGAATTATCAGAAACAGCGTTTTCTGTCTATCACTTGAGGGAAGCGAGACACACTTGTGACGTCATTTAACTTGATTGCATTTAAACCGGCAGTGACATTGTCAAGGACTGTCGATCGTTTTCACAGGTGCAAATGCAGACGTTCAACACTGATTATCTTTGAAACGGCGGGACCGATTTTAGTCGGATTTTCGCCAAAATGTTTTATGAAACAGGTTTAGTGAATTACGTTGATGAGTAAAAGTACCGTGGCCTATCTTTAAATACTTATCAAAATATTATTTCAGTTTCAATATGTACTTATTTGATCACTACATTAATGAAATGTACCTGACATATAATACACCGTTTTTAATTAAGTATCTGAACCATAGATGCAGCAATTGTTAGCCACATGGTACACATGTGATGAGTGCCGACTCGATTTATCAAAGTACTGAAAGTACTGGGAAGCGCTAAGCATATTGATTTGGAATTCGTCAGAATTATTTTAATTCAAAATGTCCTGTTGTATTGAATTCCAAGCGATATTTTGACAGTGCGATAGCGCTAGGTCGAGCACAGTTGTCAAAAAGTATGTGAGTCCTGAATATGTGAACCCTTTTGTGATATGAAATTCAACATTGTCTCGTGCCTTTTTTTTCAAGCATTATACATTATCTTCGTATGTTAAAAGATCAATCAACTTCACTTACAGCACTGTACAAGAAATTGCAAGAAAATATTTTTGCGTGTAAAATTATTTTCTTTCGAGATGGTAATCGAGTTTTCCGATCATTTTTTTTTAAAACTCTAAATGTACATGTAGCTATACTGTCTTCCCACAAAATTTTGGGAAGGATGTGGGAATTTTTGTGGGAAAATTTGTGGGAAGACAATATTTTTGCTGGAAAATATCGCTAAAATTCCTCTCATTTACGTGCAACACTGAAAGATAAAATCTTCTGGTGATCATATTTAATAACAAATTCATTCTGTGTTTTTTTTTTAAATTGAAGATTGCCATCATGTTTGTAAGAACGTTGTAACGTGCCCGAGGTATGAGGCTTTTTATAATTGATCAAATCTCCAATGAAGGAGATATATTTCATTGAAACCAATATATATGGTATTTCCTGGTAATTTGTTAATTGGTAATCCTGGTTGATTTGGTAAGATATATCCCTGTTTGGTCAGTAATATTGTATTGCAGAGGCAAACAAGAGCACAACATAAGATAATTAAAGTTTCAGCCATAATTTAATGAAGGAATAACTGTAATACAGATGACTGGATAGCCAAATAATCAAACAATGGTGATGTAATACATTTGGTCAGATCGGACGTCACATATTATGATTTGGTCACGCTATTATGATTTGGTAACGTTATTATGATTTGGTAACGTTTTTATGATTTGGTAAAATGATGGCTGTTGATTTTCCGTAATAAATCAATTTGGTCAAATGTAAACAATGGTAAAACATCGTAGAGACTGTTGAATTCCTTAATAAATCTATTTGGTCATAATAATCTATAGTAAAAACTCCCAAACCGTTAGTTATATCAGTATCTACGTACAATTTCTATAAAAGTTGTTGAGCAGACGCTCTGCAGAGTCAAACTGAAACCTCAGCGTCCGTGGTGACGCTTATATAGGATAAACTACCGGACATGCGCAGTGCGCTTTACCTAACCAAAAAGGAAAGTATAGACCAAAATGGCAGACGATACTAACAACATCGCCGAAGTGGGACAAACCATGAAAAATACGAACGATGTGACGCCGAATCGTAAAACAAATACATAGTAATAAACAATAAAGGTAAGTTGCATAAAAATGTACAATACATGTTGCGTAAAAGTTAACAATAATAAAATAATGACGTTCGAGGACGGAGAACAATAACCTAAACCCCCCTTGTAAATTAGAATCTTCCGAATCTTCATGACCAAAAAGGAAAACAACGTGATCGACAGACACGCATGAAAAACGGTATTTACGATCAATTTACAACCTGAACTGTAAGTTAAATGAAATAAACATTCATAATAAATACTGTTTCAATCATAAGAGTCCATAATTTTACGTATCAGTCCATATTTCCTCCGTGGTAAACTTGGTCATTTACCAAACATGAAAGTGTAGGAATTACCAAACATGAAATAATAGGAATTACCAAACATCGTTTTATAGTACACTTGGTGATGTTTACAGTTCATATATAATTGCTGTAAGAGAAATCATATACAAAT